GCGCTGTGTCAGGCAAGTTCCTGCGCAACGGCGGTACGCTTCTGGGACTGGCCCAATACGATGTCGGCAGGTATGCCATTGAGGGTCTCGGGTCGTCAGACGGTGGGCTACTGGGATTCCGAGGTGTGTACAACTTTGGCGGGGATGCGGAAAACAGCCAGCCGTCTCAGTCACGGTCGACCGGCCGGCTGAACGGGAAGCCGATCGGGTTCAGCGACGAGACAAAGGAGCGCATTTACGGGCGTTTCAGCGCCGGCGGAGAGATATACTACGGCACGTTGAACAAATCCGGTGGAATCAGCTTCGGGGGCCGCTTTGCCACGTTGCCAGAGCATCGAGGGACGCCTTTAACGGCGACGCTGACGATCAACCCCCTAATGGGCAATATCAGCGCCAGCTACGCTGTCGTGGCGGGCCAACACTGCAGCCTCGCGACGCGCATGGACTTTAATGTGTACAGCTACGAGAGCGACTGGTCCGTGGGCATGGAGTTGTGGCGCAAGAACCTGACCCGCAATATCGAGCCCGCGCTCTCGGCCGAGAATTTTGTCCAAAAGGAGCGGAGCTTCCAGGCGAAGCTGGAGTGGAGGCTGGATGAGCCGGAGGCCCTGCCAAAAGCTTTGCAGCCAAGGCCGCCCACCGTCTCCGAGCAGGAACGGAAAGAGAAGCCGAAGGAGCGCAGCTTTCAGGCCAAGATGGAATGGAGATTGGACGACCCTGCACTGGATGAGACGGAAACGGGAGATGCCGGCACGCCGCAGGCGACGGGCGTGGGCGAATACGGCAGTGTCATCAAGGCACGGCTGGACCAGAATATGAAGATCGGCGTCCTGTGGGAGGGCCGGTTCAAATCTTTGCTCTTCAGCTTGGGGAGCGCTATCGACTTGCGCAAGCTTGATTCGCCGTTCCGCACATTGGGTGTGGAGATCCAGTTCTCGTCATGAACAGACCGCGACGTCGGAAGCCCACCGACAATCCTCTCGATGCAACGCTGGGCCCGGAGCCTCGATCATAACCTCGTGTGCAGCTAGGACACAGCATAACTCTTCGGCAATCTGCTATAGAGTAGCAGTAGTACCGCCGCTTGCATGAGCGAGTGTGACCCGGTACCGGTGTCGCGGTCACGGGTCTGGTGGGCGCGACCCAAATTGGCGTCGTGGCTATTGATGCAGGACGGCCTCGTGAGAACCTTGACTGTTGCATAGAGTGGGAGAGAAGAATGCAACGTCGCGCGGGTCGTTGGCTATTTCAGGGAACCCACGCTGAAATTACATCAATGAGGCAAGGCGGAAAAGAGTCGGATAGATGTCCCGCGCCACGATGGCTTGTGAATAAAGGACTGGTACAGCTTCTGGGCTGTTCTCCATCACAGGACCGCCGATGGAGGCGTGCCCGGCCGGCTTGGCTAGCGCGACACGGCTTAGCCAAGCTTTCTTAGCTATGAGGCAAGCGACGACGAGGCGGCATGTCAGCTGTCAACGTCGAGTGATCGAGTGGCCATCGATGAGAGGCATAATGAGTTCTACATCTATCTTGGATAGTGTCATTTTCGATGGGTGGAGCAAATGCCATCAAACGGTTGCGCAAGCCTTGGAGAAGTGCATAGGCAGCATCTCCGGTGACGGAGCCTCTTGCTTCCCAGAATCAATAGAAAACAAACCGGATTCCTTTGAAACCTAGGTAATTCAAACAAGGTACCCTCAAGTCCAAACTCGCTCTGATGGAGTGCATGGCATAAGTGAGTGTGGCCGCCATATCCGTGCCAGCCTATCTATGCATGCAAAATGGCCGATGATAGCATTTGTGGCCAACTTGGATTTGCTGTGCGCTGTCTCTCAGACGTCAGAATGAGGACCTTGATGGTTAAGCTAGCTACGTAGTGGCATGGAGAACCTTGATGGCCAACACCACAGCCAATGGTAGAGGCAGAATTTGAGGCTGACCGGTCAGCCGAGGATTAGCGTGACGGAGCAGGGATGGGGCCAGTTTCGGGATGCCAGCGAACTGGGAAGGAATGTGCGCCGATGAACGATTGAATGGGGGTTTTTTTTTTCTTTGGATGCTGTTGCTGTTCTTAGGGACGCCGCACGACAGTCCAATCAATCTATGTTATTGATATTTTTATGGGTTTCCCGCGTTTAATTTCTTTCTAATTTGGCGGCGCACCGGATGTGTACTGGCATCAAGAGGAGGCATGTAAAGATTGCGGATCTGATCTGATGGCGCGATATCCCTCCTTGACATTTGACGAAAGCAGAAGCTGCTGCGACAGGACAGCTGCTTCTATCGGCGATAAGAACGGTAAGGTAACGTGAGGTGAGGTAAGGAGCGAGGTGTGGGAGGGTGGACCCGAGCCTACGGTTGGGCCATCAAGGTTCTCATTCTTCCATTTTGCGCAACCGCTCGTAGCCTGTCCCTGCTCCCGGTCGCTCCTCCACTGCCAAGTGCCAACCCTCGTGGTCTGACCACAGAATCAGGACCAGCCGCCGGAACTCTATCGAATCGACTTCCGACGGCTTCCTCCTTCCGACTCTCAGAGTTCGGCTCTTCTTTCCCCAGTAGCTATGCTACCTCGTCCTAAATCGTTAATTACTTACCTAAACTGCATTACCTCGCGCTCTTGTCAGCCGGGGAAGAAAAGAGGCAGTTGACTGATACAACGAGCTCGGAACACTATAGGAAACCGGCAAAGTCGACCAAACAAGATACACTCGGTCTCCCATCGGCAGGTTGCCGAGTTCCCGACCCTTTTGTGGTTCCTCCGTCCTCGTCGTCGAGTCCCCTTGTGCTTAAGCGGGGGGTCCCTCTGTCCTTCGTATGTCCTCCTAAGCCCCGTTCGCGACCGACCGATCGACCATCCGGGTTCCTAACATACCTCCCCTCCACCCTCAAAAGACTTTTCTTGCATTATTCTCTTGCTGCAGCAAATGCCCTCTCCCATTGTTCTTGGCACATCTTATATACTGTTCGTCGCCTACCCCAAAGACTCACATCCCATCCCATCTATCAAGACGCCAAGCTGCGAGCCAAGACCTGCGAGGACCCATTTCCAAGAGCCTCCCCCCAATCCTATGACCCGCGACTGACCGCACCTGCTACCCCCGATCGCGGCGCCTCTTCGATGAATTCGGCATACTTATGTTAAACTGACACTCGCGGGTACACCTGGTCGACATTCGAAGCATCTTCTCGTGGACGCAAAGGTCCCAAAGCCCGTCCTCTTGTCGTCATACCGTCACCATCCCTGTTCCACAAAGCTCAACGTGTGTGACCCTTTTGCGGTGCCTCGTCCCTCCGGGTCGTTACCCATTTCCGACTGCTGCTCTCTAGGGATCAGCGCACACCAGAGTCTTGGAGCAAACCTCTGGCGTATCCCACTGCACGGAATCTGCAAGAATATCAGCAATCATGAATCCTTTAGAGATTTCCGCAGTGAAGCTCCTCGCCCTTCGTCAGGATGAGGGTGCTGGAGCCGAGGAGGCCGTCAACGAATGCGGCGCTGCCGCCGTTGACGTGAGCAACATGCCCCTGCGTATCGCCTCCATCTTCATCATCCTCATCGCGTCGCTTTTCGGTGGCTTCCTGCCCATCTGCCTGGCCCGGACCTCCAGGATGCACGTTCCCAAGATGACCTTTTTCATCTTCAAGTATGTTGGTACCGGCGTCATCATCGCAACCGCTTGGATGCATCTTCTGTCTCCCGGCGTCGAGGCCCTGCACAACGAGTGCTTGGCACCCATGCTCGGTGACTACGACTGGGCCTTTGCCATCGGTCTGATGACCGTCATGGTTATGTTTTTGATCGAAATGGTGGCATCTAACCTTGCCACCTCCGCCTTTTCTCACGGCCATGACCACGACCTGGGCCACGGCCCTGTTGCAGTCAAGTCCAAGGACCAAACGACTGAAAGCGATGCTTGCCCGCACGAGATCGGTAACGCTGAGAGGGGCAACGGCTTCATTGACCCCCAGAAGGTGCCTGGACTCCCTGACGATGTCAGCTACCCTCCAGGCGGAAGAGACCACCTTGGCCACGCTCGCGATCATGAGGAGGGAGACAGCCACAATGGTCTCGCTGGCCAGCTAATCGCCATCTTCATCCTCGAGTTTGGCGTCGTGTTCCACTCCATCTTCATAGGACTTGTCCTCGCCACCAGCGACGAGCTCGTCGTTCTTCTCATCGTCCTGACCTTCCACCAGTTCTTTGAGGGTCTCGGTTTGGGTTCTCGTCTGGCGACTGCCAACTGGCCCGCCCACGGACGCTGGTGGCCTCACATCCTTGCCACCATCTACGGCCTCTCGACCCCACTCGCCATTGCTGTTGGTATTGCCGCTAGGCCGAACAGCGCCCAGACGCAGACTCTCGTCAACGGAATCTTCGACTCTATCAGTGCCGGTATTCTGATGTACACAGGTTTGGTCGAGTTGCTAGCGCACGAATTCATGTTCAACCCGCAAATGAGAAACTCGCCGCTCAAGGTGCAGCTCTTCGCTTTCGGCTGCGTCGCTCTCGGCGCCTGCGTCATGGCCATCTTGGCCAACTGGGCTTAGGCTTAACATGTTGGCCGCAATGCCCGTTGTGCGGATTAGAATGAATTAGAATTCCCTTTTGAGCGGCGTGTTATGGGTAACGGAAAAAGAATGGGAAGGTAATGATACCTGGGTCTGTGAGCCTGCCTTGTTTGCACGGCGGGGAATTTCACTTTAAAGGCTTTTGGATTTTCGCACAAGGAGAAGCTGTTACATGGCGCCTGTTAGAACCTACACAGTAATGATGTCTATAGAAGGAATCGATTACGATTCGACCGCCAATGCCGGAGGTTTCACTGGTGATGTTGTGTTTGTGTTAGTCATGAGTCCAATGGTGAATAGGACTGCATGCAAATAGGCGTAAGGGTCAAGGTTCCGCACGGAATTGCATCCAAATGGGAATACTTATACGGCGTCTCGAACGCTTCATAGCTGGACTTCAGAGAAGAGAACATCAAATCATCTGTTGGGGTCTTGAGGCAAAAGAATCGGAAGATCTGAACCCATCATCAACTTGATGTTGAACCCCACATGAGGCGGACGGACCCACCACACACCATTTGAGTTAAGCGCGAGCAAACGCTTAGGTAATCCAGGTAAGGCTTCGGGGACTGTTCCAACCAATTTTTTTTTTTTCTAGGAAAACAGCACGTGATGCCCCGCTCCTAACCAGGGCAGGAAAACCCTGCGCCAAAGCTCGCAATCAACACCAAAAATTTCCATCGAAACGCCCGCTCTTGCGACGATTTTCCCGACCGACCGACCGACCTCATCGCCCAATTCCATCGCCTAGCGCCCGCACCCAAGTCCGCCCTTCTCCCTCACTACCCCAATCAATACCGCAAAAATGGCCGGTGGAATCAACGTCCGCGATGTCGATGTAGGTTAACACCACACTTGCCCAGAGACCCTCTCTCGAAGCGAAAACAAAAGAACTATTTCGAAGCCTCGAATTGCAATCTTTCGACCGTTCCGTACCTCCGATGACACCGCGCAGCCGCCTCGAAAGCCCATGAGCCACCCGCACATACACGCACACACGTCGCGCTTCATCACTGTGACCACGGGTCTCGTATCGCCCTCGCTTCCGCATCCGTGAATCTTGATTACGATGAGGAGTTGAAATATACCCTCATGGTGTATCTTGCGGCTGTCGCTATGATGACGCGCGGAAGCAGAGAGGTGGCGAGCAGTGTACGAGGGGTAACAGGCCTCAGGCTTTCGGGGACAAACGGCAGCCCGGCGAGGGGTGCACGAAGGAAGAACACATAGATACAATTTGAGGAAACGGAGCAGGCGCGAGGGAGTCGAAAGACTTCTGATGACGGAATCATGCTAATTGGTCGTTTTTCTCCGGGCAGGCGCAGAAGTTCATCAACGCGTATGCCGCTTTCTTGAAGCGTCAGGGCAAGCTGCCCATCCCCGGTATGTATAATCCCGCTCGCACGATACGACCCCTCGTTGGCCTTGGGGAGCGAGCGCATGGCTAACCTCCCTATCCAGGTTGGGTTGACATCGTCAAGACCGGCCCCGCCAAGGAGCTCCCTCCCCAGAACATTGACTGGTTCTACGTCCGTGCCGCCTCCGTCGCCCGCCACATCTACCTCCGCAAGACCGTCGGTGTCGGCCGTCTCCGCAAGGTCCACGGCTCCGCCAAGAACCGCGGTGTCCGCCCCTCCCACCACGTCGACGCCTCCGGCTCCGTCGACCGCAAGATCGTCCAGGCCCTCGAGAAGATTGGTGTCCTTGAGCAGGACGAGGAGAAGGGTGGCCGCCGCATCACCCAGTCCGGCCAGCGTGACTTGGACCGTAAGTTTCCTCCCCCTGCCCATATTTTTGCGTTTCCGAATTGGAGTATTGACACCCCCCACCAGGTATCGCCCAGACCACTGCCGAGGCTGAGGAGGAGGAGGATGACGAGTAAACTATTCCCAACCCTCGCGCATATTATTCATAAAATGAAATGCTTGTGGTAAAAAAATGAGGTTCTTCCGGGTCATGGCTACGGCAACATAAAAAAGGGCATTGGGTTAGGCGTCTGAAAATGGATTACGGGTTTCATGATTGACCACCACATTTGGAACCGCACCCAAATTCAAGTTCCGTCTTCACCTGGTGCTTTGTCGTATTCTCATTGCCATCCTGACATGTAGTGCTGCGTGCCGTCAGAATCCACGCCCTGGACTTTGGCTATCCCTCGCTGTCATATTGGTCATGAAGTGATGCCGTCGTACCCTTCTTGCTTGCTTTCCACACGCGTCTGTGATTCACTGACGGCCCTCCCTTCCCATCTGTTTTCATCCTTCCCAATCCCACAACACCCGTCATCATCATCGACACACCCCAAAAGGCCTCACTCACAACATCAAAATTTCTCACTAGGTCCTGCCTTCCATAAAGTCGCTCCTGCCTTTTTGTTTTCAAACCGCCCAGTTATTTCACTTTACTTCCTTCATATTCATTGTTTCCTACCGACTTTCCCACTGACCCTATTTCGCCACAAACCCGCAACCGCCGTTAACGCATCGCTTTCACTGTCGTATCAATATCTGACGATATTGCGCCAGCCCCATCTTCAACACATCCTTTCTCTCTCCGCCGACGCAACTTGGGTGCGCGAGAACGGACGATTTCTCTGTCAAGTTGAATTTCGGCTTCTTCCTTCAGTATCCCTCATTTCCTACAGCTTGACTATCCTCGTTGGTGTCAGTTGTTCCCTTCATCGCTCGATTGTCGAGTCCACCTCGACTCAGTCATATTGGACAACACGCTCCTTCTTTTCTTCTACCTTCAATCGCCCCCTCTCTGATTGATTCCGCTCTACACTTTTCGAACGTCAATCTCTTTTTCTCGCTGAACCGTGTTTTCAGGTTTGTACCATTCCACTTGCTACCGAATCTCGTCTTCTCCTCGCTGTGCTCACGAACTCTTACTTACATCGTATTTTTAGATCGTCAACTACCAGGCACAATTCTTATCAGAGAGCCCCTCATTCCTATCATACAATCAAAGCACTACTACTCAGCAGCCTCCAAATTTCCTGTTGTATCAACAACTGCTAGTCTCAACAGTAGCGCAACAAAGACAAAATGAGTGGTCAACTTGAACGCCAAGGCCTCGTTGATCATGCCATTGAGATCAAGGAAGAGAGCCCAGCTCCTGACGCCGCACCTATAGGCGACATTTTCACGTCCGATATCATGCCTTCCGAGAAGCCCCGCGAGAAGATATTTTTTCTTAAGAGATTTTTCGACGGCCATCCCCGTCTTGACGTCCTTATTGAGATAGGGACAGGCTGCCTTCGTCCGGGCACAAACAAGGCCGAATTCGCGATCTGGGAAACGTGCGAGGACATCTACATCTACCGGAAAGCTAGTCCGGAGATTAAGTTGTTGCAGTCCATCGGGAACGTGGAGTACGTGGACCCTACATCTCCAATGTCTCATGTCAAACGTGCCTTCGCTAAGAAGACGTGCGGGTTTGTTGGTGCACGCGACTCTAATGGTCAGTTGCGGGTGCTCAAGCTTGCTGTCAGTGGCACCTCTTTCAAGCCGCGTCGAGATGAAGACAATAACGACTTCATCTTCCACGCCAAGTGGGCTACGAGAGTTAAACACTTGGCGAAGCGAATGAAGATTAATCTGCGGACGATATACGACGGGCACCACCAGAAAGCGAACCTAGAAAATACCGGAAACTGGCGAGCCGGCCATGTTGAAAAGAAACTAGCTACACATATCGTGTGGACTTTCTTGGCCAAGCATCGACTAGTTGACAAGACGCGCAAGGTCTCCCTGGAAGACCTCCGTCAACTTCGTCAGTGCCTGCAACAGAAGGGCAGCAAGCCCCAATTCGAATTACATCTGAGCCGTGCCCCTTGTGGCACATTTTACAAACCGGGCAGATGTGTGCCTTTCGTTCGAAAACTGGCCCAGCTTACAGGGGTTCACTTCACAATACATTCCTGGGAGGAAAACATGATCCTAGATGGATCAGTCCCATCCAGATGCGCACCCCGAGAAGTGGAGAAGATCGGACCTCAAGACAGAGCAGAAAGTCCTGGCGCCTACGATAGTGAGGATGATGACCTTGAGGCGTTTCTCGATGAGGCTGAAGCCCAGACGAACATCGTCTTTGACGGTTTTGAGGAACCGCCACCCAAAATCTCAGGCAGAGCTGCCCAACAACGCTTTGCTGAGTCCATTCGCAGGTTCGACAACATCAAGAAACCCATGCCACCAACCCCAGTTTTTGAGGATCCATTTTGGCAGGCAGCAACCACATACGGGCGTACGTCAGCGTCTTCTCGAAGTCACTTCTGGGAGGACACAACCCCGCTCAGCTCTCGACGGCGACAGTCTGCGGCTTCTGAGGATAAGCGGGATCGGCGGGCTCGGAAGCTCGAGGTGAGACGGCGTCGTTCGGCGGTCTCAGCCAGCGAGGCTACGCAGCATTCTGCAGGTAAGTCTGGTACTTTGAATTTGTACGCTGGGGTGGCAACTGACGACGTGGTACAAGAAATGTCTGCGCTCGCAGGTCGCTTGGGCGGTCTACTCAACTCTAGCCGGCTACTGAGATAAAGAAGCTCTTTACAACCTCAAGGCGCGGCGAAGTTGTTGCCCAACCTTCAAATCGGATGTGTTGGCTGAGACAAATGATATTGGCTAAGAGAGGGGCATGGTTTGGCCCAGAGTTTTGGTATTGCGAGTTGTTTTACACTCTTCATGTCGAGGAGCCCGGGCTCATGTTACGGTTGCTGTGCGCAGCCTACGCTCAGAAAAGTTGCATGATGAAAGTCTCGAGACGTCAGGACTAGTTAGGTTGGTCGTGTGGTATGGATAATTGCATGTCCCTGGCGTAGCCAGGCTACTTTCTTCGCTACAAATCTTATTACAAAAACAACCAGTGCCGTTGTTGCGCAGCTTCGCAGCACGCTTCCCGATACGTGACTGAAAACATGATCTGGATAGACTGTGTATGCGCTGCAGTCCCTCTAGCGGTCGGTCGGTCGACTATAGTTTTTCAGTGGAAGAATGGTGCTTAAGCACATGCGTCACGCACTGGTTGCGGTGGCCAGAGCTAATGCCAAAGGCTCTTCTTATATTATGCGGGTTAGGGAAACGCGACTCGGTGCCATTGGAGTGTCTAATGCGCCTTGCACTGATGGCGATTTACATGAGCGAAAATTAATACTTGGAATTATATGGTTATATATACGTATATAGAAAAGGCTTTGTGTTGCCAATGGGGGGCACTGATTGTCCGGCAAGTGATGAAGATCCTGCGGTATGATTCTGTGGATTTGTTTTTCCTTTTCCGTTGCGTTACGTCTTACCGTATAAACTGTCTGCAGAGCAAAGTTCTCTTGACCGAAAAAGTGAGTTGGCGAGCTCTTATGCATCATTTGTCAGATTGTCGGACACTGTGTTTAATGTTGGAAATGATTCTCTCATGTTGTTCTCCTCCCGCCGTTTTTCTTTTTCTTTCAATAATTATGTTCCTGTTTGACCTCAAAGAAAACCCGTTTTAGCTGCTTACACATCTCAGCCACAGCGTGATACTACCCAAAATAAGGTATCTGTGTATGTGTGTGGCTTGCTGGCTTGTCAGAAACCCATCCTGCCACTAGAAATTTTCACGCAGCCGTTGGACGCCTATCTGTCCAACCCAATCCTGCCAATTGTCCAGGAGAGTCACGATCCTGCAACAATTCATGCCGTACAAAAACAGGATATCTGCTTTTTTGATACATATAATATGGATGATCCGCCGCTGTTCCTATCTTCCCATCTTCCATACTTCTTTTCTTTTCCACCCACGCCCACGATATATCGCAATTCAGGCGAGATATAGTATTACCTCAAGACTGGAGGAGTGAAGACACTAGTTACACAATTAGCCGCGTTTGGCGCTTTGTAGAGACGTCTGCTAAACCCGAGTTTGCCACATAACCCCTGCCACGATAACTTCCCAGGAAGTTATCGTTTCACAACCAAACGCAGGACGGCAGGGCAGGCTCTCAACCCACCATTCTGCAATTATAGATAGAGGTTGCATTATCCTTGAGTATAGGCACTCGAGAAAGACATTAACGCCGAGCATTGTGAGGCTCTTCTGTCAAAATTACATGACCCCTGGAACAAACCGCATAGTTCGAGTGTGCCACCGAACCCACTCGTCTCCAAATGTCTTCTTCAACATCTCCTCTTCATCCGTGACTCTCACCGAAACTTTCCTCGCCATGACCAGTACCACAACACCGTAGCAAACCAACCCCCATCCATTCAACCGAGCCTCTAACCCTTGAGGAATCCAACATCCGGCAACCCCATCCTATCGGAACAAGTACGCCAGGTTTGCCAACAACACAAGGACTTGTCCTGTGTATCCCGGGTGCTGGATGTATCGGTAAACTCCCGTCGTGGTAAGACCCCTAGGCTTCGCAAGTTGGAACGTGAAATTCCCACCGAGCTGGGCGAAAGCCAAAAGCCGCAATGGGGCACCGATGGCAACGATGAGAAACAAACAGAGCGTCGTGTATTTGTTCCATTCGAAGAGTTTGCGATTGATGTTTTGCGGATGGCCACAGATGAGGTTGGTCTCGGAAGACGAGGACGCTATGATGGCGTGGCATACGCCAATGGCCACCGTGACAAGTCTTCGGACGGATGAGACTTTGGGCGTAGCCCAGAGGCCGAGCCGGTCTTTCCCCCATTTTTGTTTTGCTTCGCGTGGGGCTCTGGAGCATAGGGCCGTGAGGATGCTAGCGACGACGACGGCCGCCGAGAGAGAGAAAGGTTGCCAGGATGACATGGTCGCAGCGATGCGTTTACTGTGTCGATTTTGGGAAATAGTTCCTAGACGTCACTAAGAATCATTGATAATATGAGCGACAAGAAAATAAAACATGAAACGAGTGGGAAATGGAGGCTGAAATATACACTTTTGTCTGAGGCGACTTCACCATGCGAACCTATGCTGAGGCGGCGTGCGGAGAATCGAACGCCGTCTCCGGTCGGCGTTCCGGCGTTCAATGCCGATCTATCCGGTTGTGTCCCACCCTACCGTCGATATCGACTCATAACTTGCACCCATGATCCGTTGCCATCTCCGTCTCCGACTGACATATCCGGAACTTGACTGACTTACGACATATTCCCTGGCATCGGACCTGTAGAAAATCCCCGCACGGTAGCACATGCAATCCCGCAAACGACATGCCCCGTACGGGACAGCTTGTTCGGAATGCTCACGGACCAAATCTCGCTGCATCGCAACTTCTCAGGGATCGCCAGCTTGCAAACACAATCATCTTTGATCTGGGGTTAAACCAGCCGCCGCAGATTATCCCCGAGGCAATGCTGAGGTTGACCATCCATCGGCCGTGGGTATCTGCGACCCGCACGGTCGAGGAGCAGAGGGCCGTAGTCGCATGTTATTATCTCAGCTCCAAGTAAATTCGCATTTTCCCCTGTTGACGAAGGCGAAGGAATTTGCTGATAATATGATAACCAGCGTATCGTCGTACCTGCGTCGAACAGATAGACTGCTGTGGACGCCGTACATGAGCACCTGCCTTGACGACCTTACAATCAGCGGTACACCTGGCGATGCCGCACTCGTATATGTGGTTAAGATACGCAGAATCCTTGACAAGGCATTCTACTCCCCTCCAAACTCGCAGATGACAGCGCCAGAAACCCCAGCAGACGTCGTCGCTGCGGTGTTGCAAACCGAGCTGGACAAACTCGCCACAGCCCCTGATCCCGTGGAAAGTTCCGGTAATGGTTTTCTCAGCCCGTTGAGAAAGTTCGGATCTCAATGGCTCACACACGCGCGCAGTTATCACATGCTATCGCACCTACGCCTCTTTCGCGATCTCAGAATGCGCACTCACTCTCCCCTCTCCAGAACCACAGCATCTCTACACCACATATGAGGCCCTCAAGTACTACTTTAACGCCTTCCTTTCCTTCCAATCAAGCGCGTACTTGGGTCTTACGCTAGTAGAACTGTACCAGGCCATGCATGCAGCCCTCTCGCTGCGGAAACTCTCATCCCAGCTCACGACACAGATGTACGACAAGCAGCGCGTAGAGAAGCTTGCCGACTGGTATCAGCAGGTGATTCGCAGCCTTAGAAATGCGTCGATGTATCCTGGAGCAAAGAGAGATGGGAGGGCAGCAGTATTTGGCAAGTTGGCTAGCATGCTGGAGTCTTTTACTTGGGAAAGGGGTGAAGGGCTTGGACGGCAGGGTGACAGTGAGGTTAACGTGGACGGAATTACAAGTGAGGTGTTTCTTAGTGAGGAGTGGTTCGGCATAGCGAATCAGTTTGATTGGGCGTTTTAAGCAGTTCGTCGGCCTCTGATGTTTTTAGTAAGGGGGCTGTTTATGATTACTATTAAGGTACCTAGGTAGGAAGTCTTAGCTAAAAGTTAACACGACTACAGGTAACATAATTCATTGCTAAGAAAAAGTGGCTTACTGTTACTGGAATCCCAGCGAACATTTAGACTTTACTCCGGTTCGAACTCCTGGTGAGGTGCCACAAGCATTGATGACGGCGGCATCGCTCGCCGCAGCGTTGCACGAATCTTCAAACTCGTTGCCTCCAAGGTAAGGTTTCGCGATGACGGGCCATTCGCGGGTGCCGTAGCACTCTTGTCTCTTGAAGTTCATCTTGGAAATCGCTTTAGCACTCGGGTCGCCATAGTCGTAGTGTACGCCAAAGAACTTGTCTTGCGGATATTTCGCGCAGGCGGCTTGTGTCAGGCAAAGGTCGTGGTCCGCCACTTGGTCGCTCTCACACCAGCAGAAGTGATGTCGATTGGCCACGGCGCCTAGTGCAAATGCGCACAAAACAATAATCAAGTGGCTGAAAAACATGGTAGACTCCTAGAAAGCCGAATGCGATGCTTGTCTGCCTATGGCCATCGTCGAGGCTTTCACCTGTTATTATCAAGTATTTAGGGGCCGTGATCTTACACAATCGAATTACAGACTAGTTTCTGCTGCGAATAAAAAGCATTACCCACAAATATGGCATCAGATCTCGGTATTGCCGAGAGATCCTACGGCAGGTCCGTCCAAGGTTAGGCGAACTTTGGCTGGATTACTAGGATTATGGGCAGTGTGAATATCCCTGATGTAACGCTACAATCGCGTGCTTACGTAGTAAGCTTCGAATCACGTTCGGGCGGGATCCTATTGGCATCCACCCCTTTTAATAGCTTTCCTCTTCATAAAGCACGCAAGGCTTATCATTGATAACCTTGACTAAACAGGCGCCAATGCGACACAGGGCGCATAATAACTCCATTTAACACATGCTTAATATGCGTACAGTGCCGGGCAAAAAGTCTGCGCCCACCCCCCTTATCTTCCTCCAGCCCACAAATCTACCCCATCACTTTTACTACGAATGAAACCGCAAAATTAATAATATATATGGCAAGAGTAGAGTTCATTAAAAGCTAATTATTTGCCTATCGGTATCCGTATCGTGTATACCGTCCCCGGGCCCGCTGTACAGCTCGTAAGCGCCGCGGTATTGACTCTATAAGACGGTTGATAGCGCAATTGCGGGGTGGGCCCAGACTTTCTGCATGTGACTGTATATAATAATTTTAGATGTGACGGCACCAGTCTGGTCGATTGCGCAATCGCCCTTGATTAACTCAACTGCAATTCTACCGGTGGTTGAGATAGATGATCCCTTGGCCTTCGAGCCGGAATGATTAATAAATATATCATTCTTGGGGGAAAATTGGACAATTCTGCCAAATACATGTCCAGATGCAATTGATCCTTTGGCGTTCCGTAATATACCCAGTCCGCATTTTTTTTTTGGTCGCGCTCTTGCCGTTCCTTTTACGCTTTTTCTTTTCTTTTCTTTTCTTTTTTTTTTTTGTGCTGCGCATCCACGATGCGTTACCAGTCTATAGCCACGACGTGTCAGATGTTATTCATGATACACGCCGTTGCCACGCCCCTCTCAATACCCAACAGTGACGACACCACCGCATCAATACCCAACAGTGACGGCATCACCGTCTCAAGACCCAACAGTGACGGCATCACCGCACTTCAACCTACGTCGTTTTCCTGTCCAATCAAGGAGCTTTCCAGCGAAACCTGGATAGAGGAAAACGTTGACGACTTCCTAGCCGTAGCCTCACAAAATTACATTCAGTACCCTAATAACAACATTCAGGCCTTAGCCGCCTACCTTGGTTCCCCCAACTTCTATTGCGGCGTCAACCAATATTGCAATGCCGGACAACCATGTGCGCCTGCTCAGCTTCCTGGCTGGTACATTACACCCTTTGCCCGACCATCTACCGAGCTTCAGCTGACAAGACCCAGGTATGCGCTCATGGCCATCCAGCAGTGGAACGCCTACGTCAATAACCTCCATCTCGCTGTGACATACACAGTAGCCATCTTGAGCATGAAGCTACCCACCCTGGTCAATACACTCTGGCCGAAGCCAAAAGATACCGCCACCAAAGCTAAGATTGCTCTGGCGTGGATAAACGGTATCATCAACGCCTTTCCGGTCACCGCAACGTTCGGAGCCGTCACGGGTAGTATCGGTGCGGCGATACAAGGAAACAACATCATCACCAGCAGCATGCTGCAGCCGCCGGCGCCAGACCAGCAATACCTGAAATGGAGTGCTATAGCTGACCAGCTGAGCACCCAGTTGAACGACTACAAGGGAGCCATCGGCCAGTACGCGAAAACCATCATTGACGCGCCCATCAATGACACGAGGTTTGGTGTCAACTCGGTTCTCCATGGCGGCAAGTACCTTACGCGTGGCAGAAACTTCACGCAGGATGACATCGAGAAGTGGATGTACGGGACTGTCAGTGTCAACGCAATGGGCCTACTACTGCAGGCGCAAAACGTCTACATTATCCGCACCTTCAACCTGTCGAGTTGCAGTCTTGGAAAGTACTACACCAGCGCTTTCTTCTGTCAGCAGCAGCCCAACAACTTGTGGACCAGGTACCGGTTGCAGAAGAGGGGCTCTCTGGATCCTGTACCTGAACACAGAATCGCGAGTACACTTCAGGAAACCTACAATCTTACCAAAGAGGACATTTTCCTCGGGCCCACCAAGTGCTTCGACACGCACAACTACGAGCAGCTATACAACCCCTGGGAGACGCCATTAGCGAGTGGCGTCCTTTTGGACCCATTGGCGCCATGCAATTTCAATGTCAACGTTTGCAACATGGATGCAGCAGACGACGACATGTATGGGCCTACCGATTACACAGAGTACGACAATAAGTCGGATTGGTGGTGTGAATTACAAGGAGTGACTTGGACATAATGATAGACTACTATAATAGGTTGATATAAACATGTGCCGGACAAGCTGGTAATCCTTAGTCAATTGCACAGTTAGCCGCACGTGGCGCTTCGTATGGTTTCACGTCCAAACGCAGGACGGCAGGACAGACTTTCAATTCCCCTACTTGCATACTTGTAAAACCAGCAGGTGGGCTTCCTAGCTCAGCTGTAGGGTCAGAAAGACCCTAGCGCGCAGCTAAAGATGCCTCATGGGGCGAACGACGTGCTATTCTTATATGCCCTGCGGTGTGGTCTAACTCTTGACAAAACAGATATTAATAGATAAGAGTACTGCACTTGTGTTAGTTGTGTTTTCTTTCTTTATTCGGAATGTTCTCTAAAGACTAGAAAATTCTAAGCCTGAAGTCTATATAAACTAGCTGGACTGAATCTTTGCACCACGGGGAACGACATCATGGAAAAAAGCTTAGTTTAGAAGACGTTTCCCATCAAGACATCATATCCCGTCATGGAAGACGCGCGATGGAAACCACTCCCTGCATCCCATCCAGCGGCGCAGTCCCACCCGCCGTCCACATGTTCAGTAAGCCAGTCAGGAGTCTTAACCCTCTCAGCAGCGCCATCCTCGGGAGGAGAGTACATGGTTGCCGGTAGTGCGTTTTTGAGAGACGCGCACAGAGAGGGGGGTGGCGTTGGGAAGCGTAGAAGGGGAAGCGTCTGGCGCGCTTCTTAAACTGTACCGCTGGGCCCCGCAGAAGCTGCATGCTTTCAAAAAGCCCTGCAGTCCGTGTTAGTTTCTCATGGGCAGCCTCTCAATTCTCCTCCTTGCATATTTGTCAAACTCGCAGGTACGTTTCCCAGCTCAGTTGCAGGGTCAGAAAGGCCCTGGCGCGCAGCTGAAGACGTCTCAAACGACGTGCAGCCGGTGAAAGGACTTCGTTTCGGCGCTGCAAGGATCACTAAGCGCAACACAAGCAACAGATCCTGCTAATGTTACAGGTCGAGGAGCTGCCAGCTTGTATCTGCCCATGCTTGGTAGCAGCTTGCTAGCGCCTGCCAAATAATACCTGCCCACTAATGCCAGAGCCCGGCCACCAGCATCAACCCAGCGCCTGCCCGTATCGCCAGCACTCACCATTACTCGACATCACCTCCGTACTATAACTTGCGAGCACTCCAACCAGTATCAAGAAGGGAAATGCAAAAGGGAAATCCAGGAGCAAGTCGGAATCTCCTTCCTCTCCATCTTGCGAACATCCGAAGTAGGGTATCTTAGCCCAGGGCCCAAGCTACTACAATCCTACTTGTTTCAACTCAGTTTGGTCCGCTCGGATTCGCCGCATCATGAAAGTTCGGAGAAGTCCAGAGCCATGCAGGCGTTCTCTTGAACGATCCGCCGGCGACAGTTTTGCTGTGTCTCTGAAGGATGTTAAGTAGCTGAGATGAGTTCCTCACCATCTTCTGCAATTAGCACCCACGACCGAACGAAGAATACCGTATCACGTCTTATGAGCAGGATCTGCTTTCCGTGCCCAACATGCCGTCCACGACCAAACCGCCTGTGGAAATCAAAGTAACGAAAACGGAACGAGTATTTCCCCAAACGCCGCCGCGACATGAACAAGCGATCCCCTTGTCGCTGCTGGATGCCACCCTCACCAACTTTGCTCACACAAACGCTGTATGGCTCTTTGAGCCCCCTGCTGGTAAGGAGGTGCCAGACGTGGACGAGCACCTCCGCCAAGCCCTCGGCACGGTGTTGAGTTCCTACCCTCAATGGGCCGGCCAGTTGAAGTCCATCGCCGTCTTGGACGATGCACTGGTTCAATCTGAAGCCAAGGACTTCCCTGTTCACGCCCGTCGCTTCGGTCGCGTATACGCGCACTTCGGCACTGCCGCGGACGTGGGTGTCGAGTTCATCACGGCAACCAGCTCTACTACCACGAACTCGCTCTACCGAACCGAGCGCCCTGAGGCGCAACCGCTGTGGGACCGCAAAGACGACAGTTTCGACGTATTTGTGCCTCCTTCCGACATAGCGCATGCTCTCTTCCCCAACGAGCCCGATACAGAGACCGGATTACGAAAGCCCGTCATGGCTATCCAATGCACCACCTTGTCAGATGGTGGCTTGGTCCTGGCTGTCAAAACGGCACATCCACTAGCAGACATCACAAGCCTTGTCCGCTTCGTCAAGGACTGGGCGAGTGTGAGCCGCGCCGTAGTCGAGGGCTCGACATCTCTGGTCCTAAACCCCGTCTTTGAGCCAGCGCGGTTGGACAATCTTGCCGCGGGAGACATCAACGCCAAGGAGCCGGACTCGGCTACCATCAGGCGTGCCCACAGTCTGCCGTTTCACCGGTATGATTGGTGGGCTGCACCTGGGAAGACTCCCACAGTATTCCTCGACACGGCCAAGCCAGTGCCTCTGGCAGGCAAGCCTATACCCTGGGATGAGTGGGATCTCAACGCGCCTATCTCTAATTACACTGTTCATCTCAGCAAAGACCAAGTTGATTTCCTCTGGAAGCAGGCCGCGAATGGTGCCGAGGCCCATAGCCCGAGAATCAGCAAGCATGATGCCGTCTTAGCTCATATTTGGTCCTGCATCATGCGTGCACGCCAACTCGGGACGGGAAAAGATGATGGCCCGGTCCATTGCGACCTTGCGCTCGGCGTCCGATCCGCTTTCAAGCTGGGGGAGGACTTTATGGGTTCCCCAATCGTCATGATGAATGTGGAGCTGCCCTACTCCGAGGTTAGCTGTGTAGAATCAGGCAACGCCACGGGATCCATGGCTCACATCGCTCGGAAGATTCGTGGCACAATATCCAGGCTAAACAATCCTTCTAATCTCGCGGATCATCTTCATAGCGTTGCGTACGAGAAGTCACCTCAACGGATATGGCAAGGATTTCTAGGACGGCGTCATATCGTGGTAACGACCTGGGCGCGCGCTGGCATGTACGATGTCGATTTTGGGCTTGGCTCACGTATACGCTTTGCCGACAGCGTTGTGCCGAATCTGGACAGTAGCATTGTCATCAAAGAAGCGCCCCCATCTCCTGGAGAATTCTTGTCGGGAACTCAGCCGTCTTGGACTGATAGCGGCGTCGATATTTCGGTTCACATTGACACTGACGCTATGGCACGGTTTTTAAACGATCCTTTGTTACTGCCGCGCCTTAGTTAAGTATGTCTGAATATCTTTAGGGCGATATTCCTAGCGTGTAACTTTGAGAAACTGAATTTATATATTTTGTTACTCTGTTTACTGATAAAAATACTAAAGATAATACATCGAAAAGCCCTTAGTACCTATCCTTACATGGGCAAAGAAGATGCGTAGCAATTTCCCGCCATGAACGGCCGATAAAACCACAAATTATAGCTCAGATAGACACTTGAGACTGTAAGTAATCACTTTCTCTCTACCACAAGAGGGAACAATAATAAAAACAATACACTTATTGACGGATGCCATATGACGACATATTTAATGAGATATTGAACAGCGAATGAGTCGCAGAGCCACCTATGGGTGGGATGGGGGAAACAGCTTGAACATCCACCAGTAAGATGGCCTGGACCAATGCGCACAAATGCGGACCCCGCGAAGTGGGGCCGGTCCGGAGGGCCGGAATAGCTATTGTTCAGGCCGGGTGGGGATCTCACGGGGCGGCGCGATAGTCATGAGGGTATCGCGACGTAAGGGATGTGTCTGACGAGCAATTTGAATATGAGACGCCAGGTCGAATAGTGTCAATCAATCCATAGAACTGTGATTGGCAGCTGCTTGGTGGTGCGTGGATTCAGGGTGTTCGAGCCCTCAGTGCGTTCAATCCTGCCAAAGTATCACTCAGCCACTCCCGCAGACGTTCAAGTTCGATTATCTCCCGCTACAGAACACAGTTTCAATGTAGGAGCGTTGACAGCGTCGACCACAAAGGCTGAGATCTGCCTTTTGCCGGACAGCTGGAACGGAGCCTGACTACAGAGGGAAAGGCGACAGAGAATACGACACGTGCTTCCTCGGGGACGGTCGGCGGCTTCTGGCGGGGCCAACCGCGGCGTAGGCGGCTAAGCATGTAAAAGCGAAGGCCGAAGGGGGGGTTTACGAGGGGTCTCCTACGTCCGTTATGTCCTCTTGCGGGTCCTTCCTTGACAGGTAGCACCGCAATTATGGCAATTGCCGGGCGAGATGTAGGGTTGGTAGTCTTTTGAATGGAAGCTTGCCGATCGGCGGTGAAGGCGGGCGCAGGCTGTGGGGGGGCGCGAAGAAAGAGATAAGCGGCCGGATATGCGCCGGCAGGAGGACGTAGACGCCAGAACGTCTACATCATGCAGCTTCGGCGACAGGCCCTCCCGTTATCGTGAGTGTTTGCACCATGTCCGACGCTGCTGGACGGCGCGAAGGGGCTGGAGCCCCTCTGGACAATTGACACCGTCCACCAGTCACTTGCGCCTCTCTTCTGTAGACCTTCCTCACTATGGTTCTCTAGCGAGGGCTCTGCTAGATTGAATGTGTTGTCGGAATAGCGGAACTCCGATGGGGGTTCTTCCACTCGAGCATCCAAACCCGAACCGTACCGAAGCATAGGAGGCATCCTGCCGTTGACCTGCCGTTGACCTTGTATTTGCACCTGGTCTGGAGGTCTGGGACGGCGGCAGCAGCATCATAGCCGCCCAGAGTTTCTTCGGAGGGATTCCACTTCTTGGAAGGAAGGCGCGCAGCTTCGATGAGCTCGCCCGGAACCGTGAAACGCATGTCCGTCTCTGTCCCGTTGCCTTTAGCAACGACCTCGTCGCCTTGGCTCTTGTGAATGGGAGCGTGCCATTACCGCGATAATCTAGAGGTGGGCGCGGCCTCCGAACCATAGATTATCTTTGCTTGGTTCAGGACAGATACCACCTGGCGCCTACGACCTGGTGTATGCAAGCTGGCGCCGAGCTGCTAAACTACATTCAGGTATGTGAAATCAAGCCCAAGATTGGGGCAGGTGTGGAGAAAGGAGAATCTATCGCCTAAACTTTAAGATAAAGGATTCGGCGAGTCCGCGCAATATACATGCAAACGCCTTGCAGATTACTATAAGATAGAAAGCAATGCAAGTCTTGCCTCAAGCCTCTCACTCAATTCGCTCTTGGATTCCCATACTGCACACGAGCTCTTTCAACATGAAGACCTATATCATTCAATTTCTTACTATCTCTACCTTCGCTGCCGTAACTATGGCGTGCGACCGCTACAACTACTGCCGTTGCACCATGGCCGATGGATCACTCAACAGCACTGTTACAGACGACGCGTGCAAGTACTTGTATACGTATTCTGCAAAAAAACATTTCGACCTATCTCTTTATGTAACTCAAAACAAAGACGACGCAACATGGTGTTATCAATTAGTAAATGATAACCCAATATACCTTGGTGTCGACAACTGCGATATGCGTGTAGCCTGCACCGAAGTGGGTGCTACCGGAAGCGATTCTTGGTGTATGGATAAGTTACACTAGTGTGAAGCTGAGATAGCTTTGTGTGGCTAGTACAGGGTGGCAGGGGTAACTTAATTACCCCTATGATGTTACCTGCCATAGCTGACATCAGATTAAAGGGGGAATATTCACCAAAAGCGAAGTCCCGTAGTAGGGGGGTCAGCATTAGTTACCTAACAGGGGTAATCATCTTCGGCCTGGTACCATCGTACTACTTGCATGTACTATAAATATACAGTATATGCGGATTAATATAAAAAACTAACCAATCAAAAACATACAACACCAGATATTCGCTGGTCGTCACCGACCCAGCTACTAATCCGACCCTCATGAAGTCTTAGTTATGGGAACCTCATTTGGAAGCATGACACTTCTACTATCGGAAGGCCAAGCTCCTATTTCAGCCCCATATTACGGCAGACGTGCTGTACTCCTACTGGCTCGAATTATGCTAGATGTACAGTGCATAAGAACCTCAAAGTACAGGGTAGCAGGGCTAAGTTAATCACCCCTATGATATTACCCCCCACAGCTGATATCATAATAAAGGGGGAATATTTATCAAAAGTGAGGTTCTGTAGTAGGGGGGTGAACGTTAGTTACCTGGCAGGGGTGATTAACTTCGGCCTGGTACCATAGTACTATCTATCCCATTACGTAGTAAGTGCGACATGACCCCATTCCTGCCAAGACCGGGGTATAGCCAATGCATTCGTCGCATTAAGTCCGAATATCCAATGGCTTTACAGTACTTCTAGTTATATGGCATCTTGCCTATGCCAAAGGTACTATCAATCTCCGTCTTTACACAGAGGTACCTCGCAGTCTGAGCAGCCCTGCTGGGCCAGGCACTTCGAATGGGATGAAGTAAGTAGCCTGGAGGGCCCGGGTCCTCCTGAGGCTCGTCAGGCCGGACTGTTGCGTGATATATCACACTGCTCCGGGTTACAGTTATCCGGGCAGGCAACGGCAGGGTCCTCTGGCAAGACCTCTACATGGATAGTGGTATGAGTACTCCGTAGAGGTATCTGAGTTGGACATCGTGGTAAAAGTGAGTGGGGGATCCACACCAGAGGATATGGGGTCAAGTTGCACGTAATGAGATAACAAAGAAAGTAAAAGAAGCACGGCCATATTCACCTAGTAGGGGTTAATAGCTTTAGTCTATTAGCTATAGTGTAATATGCATTAACGCAATCAAATAATATTCTGACTTGTTGATATGAACTCAAACAGTATAAAGTTCAAACATGAAAAGTCTAACTAAGTGTTCCAGATAGACTGGGTATATGAAGTATGAGCAATAAGCTCTAACATCCTTGTTAATTACTTGTTATATATAGGTGTAAATTGCATAAGACAGATCTGACTTACTGTCTTTCTCTTCTTTCTACTACGCATCACCTCATAAACGTCCAGATTACCAACCTCGCTGGAGTCAGCATCCATTACTTTTCACACCCGTAACAATGTATTTCTTCAAGGCGCTTGTAGCTGTTGTCCTCACTGCTGGACTGGCTGCCTCTTCGCCAACGGCTCCGAACAATCTTGTCAAAAAGCAAGCGGAGTGCTCTGGACAGGGTGACCTCTGTACAACTTCCGCAGGCACCCTTGGCAGCTGCCAATGTAGTCACACAGGAGAAACTTGTAACTGCACTTAGGTAAGCTTTAATCATGTATAGAGAATAACAAGTATTAACAAACTTCTAGGACTAGTGAGACCTATTCCTTTTGCCTATGTACTGGTTACGACCCAACAAGTTACAGGCGATGCCAAGCCCCACCAAGCTGATCGCGCGGGCGGCAAGACTTTGTACAACAGGACGACCAGGGTCGTGACACAGATGACTCCTCGGAAGGAAGAACTATGGTACAGGTTACGTGATGATAAGAAGGACTAACGAACAATGAACGCTCCAGGTGAAGGTCCAACTGGTTAACAACGTTCCGCAGTGGAGGACTGACCGACAGCCGTCGCTCCATAACACACCAACAGAATCATAGACCTGTATATAGGATCGACTTGGACGCACTCAAGGACAGACTTCCGTAGCTCTTCAGCAATTAACTTTATACTACATTCTCCAAATACCTTTCAGTATCTAGCCTTAGAGATCCATTAACAACAAGCTATAACTATTAACTACCTAACTAATTACTAAGTAATTAACTAGCTAGTAAACCTATATTACTGTTACTGAGTTTTAACCTTAGCTATACTATTAGTAGAAACTGTACTGTAGGATTACTGACTGTAACAGTGCTCTTCCCTCTGTATGCTCTGAAATATCAACACTACTACAGTTTATTCGCTTCTACTTAGATATCACAAGCCTAAGTTATTAGCACAGGGGTAGAAGAGTAGGGACTATATCTATAGTCAGCCTTTATAAGGACTTACCCTTAAGGAGGTCAACCTTAAAATACACATCTATCTAGCGCCCCCTTCGACCAACGTTCGAAGATGTTTTCGACGAAGAGAGCTTGGACAACTACATTAGTGACATGGCCAATAGGCTGAACGATGAGTCGGAATTATATAACACCGAAGCGGCCTTTCAGTTAACGGGCATCAACACCGCGCCACTCGCGCAGATGCTCCCGGACAAGACAACTTTCGCACCCCCCTCGCTCGTATCCCCTACCGAGGGGGACGCCCCCTTCTCACGTCCATCGCCCGCTCTTGCACTTCTCTCCACCCCGAGTGATGGACAGGGAAAAGGTGACGCGGCCAAGGAAGAAACGCACGCAAGCATGGGCCCGCCCGCCAAGAAGCCGCGGGTCGAGTTTGTGTACCGCGTAATCACCCGGCAGCCGGCGTATCGGGGCGACCCCTGGGTGCCGACAGGGAACTTCCGTGACAAGACCATGTCAGCTTATTTGTCTGGTAGTGCTTAATCTGTGCGAACATATGAGCCTGTGATTCATGATGATGAAGAGCGACTTCCGTTGATAGTCAGACGTGAATCTGTACTGCACTCGGTGGCCGAGGTTGTGGTAAGTCAGATGCCCGGGGAGCATGGCGCCGGCGCGGCGAATGGCAGCAGAATAGTCATGAGGGCTGAAAACCTCCCCCATTTGTGAGTGAGTGAGCTGGCGCTGCAACTGCAAATCCACCGCTCCAAAAGCGATGTTTGAAATGTGGAATAGATAAGGAAGCCACCGGGAGGTTTGCTCGATCAGGAGAGATGTCGGATATTTTTTATCACTTTTTTCGCAGGCGAAGGATCCATGATGGTTGAGACTAGAAGCTGTGATGGTAGCGCAAAAACAATTGTGGTGCAGCAATTGTATCTTATAGGCACCACCGTATAAGGTTTATTATTAGGTCCATGATTGACTTCTTAACAATCTTATCTGAATTTTCGACTTCGGAAACTGATCTGGGCCGTGTTCCCACTACGCCCGTTAGCGTTGAATACAGCGGGTGCGATATCTGTATTCTGCAGCATGATCCGATGGTCTTGAGCTGGGCTGGGTTGTGTGCGAGGCGGCTCGAAGCTCTGCCCATGGGTAGTAATATGATTGATAAAAAAGCATTGCACTTTTGTGTGTGGGAAGCCAGCATTGTTGGGGGAAACTCTTATGACGGAACAACATTCCAACATCCTATGCGTCACCCCCAACCCAAGACAACTTGGATTGCGCATTCTCAGCTAGTGGAAGACTAACGACGCAACCGGATTACTTGAACATCTCCCGTCAACTCAGCCCCAAGTGTCAGCCCCCTGCCATGACTTTGCCACGCTTGAGGCGCTGGCCAACGATGCGAATCCGCCTAGGTAACCGCCGCAAATCAGCCTACAGTTCCTCGGCGCAAAGCCCAGCTGATCCACTGGAGTGGGACAGGAAAATAGATAGTGTCCGCCCCCGCAACGGCCAAGGTAAATTGATCTGCTGTTGCCTGACGGCAACCATTGCGGGACTCTCTCCCTCTGGCCAGCCCCTTTCACGGTCCCCAAGGAACCAAACTCCTCCTGCGAGATAAGCAACTATACCGTTGACAGAGTCATTTCGGTACTTCAGTCATCGCATTCGCAAGAGAGGACGCGAGCAGGATAGAAGAGAAGGGCAAGGCAAACAGGCGGAGTCTACATGACAGGTCGGCGACAAGATCGGGATGGATGCCAAGTCCCTGTACTTGCCGAGAAGCGCCAATGCTGCCTAGCTTTGTAGCTTTCCTGCGGGCCGGATCAGCCCAGGGAATTTCATTATGCCTGTCGGTACCATAGAAGGACGAGCCGCTAACCAAATCGTGTCACGGATTGTCTTTTGTCACTAGGCGCGTCGTAAACATAAAGGCGGCTGGCCCATTCAGTCGCAACAGGCCGCCGGGAGACCGCTCAACTTTTTTTTTACCGTCTTTTTTTGGAACCATTCCAAACCTCGCGTTGTGCTTCGCCTCAATGGGCAGCCCCTTTGCCTCAGCAGTCGCGCGGGCTCTAGCTCTCGCCGCGATTGCCGTCGCCGCCCCGGCCGGCTCCACCCCGCTCCGGAGGCAAACCTCCGGCGACGCGGCGTGCGCGGAGATCGGCCGAGCGTACGACAAGGCTGCATTGACAGATTCAACAGGTAAGCCATGTTTTTGTTTCCCCGAAATCCGAAGAATCTGCGCCAAGGACCGGGATCGCGCGAGATATTTGCTGACAGCGTACGCAGATAACGTGGTGGTGAAGCCCTCGGTGGCATACCGGTGTCTGAAATCGATCCCGGTAGACGTTGAGAGGGACGTTGCGCTTGTCAGATACCTCCGGCCGTGGCTCGAGTTCCAAAGCACGATCGGGATTCTGCCCAACCCGCCGGAAGGGTACATGTACCCGGGAGTCGACATCTTTGGCGGGTTTGACAACATCACCAATTCTCTTGAGAATGATGGGTACGAATCGCAGCTGGACTTCGCGGTGGACCTATACAGACTGATCAACGTCAAGCCTCGCGATGGGCACCTGTCTTGGTTATCCGCCCTGAATGTCTTGATCAACTTCTCAACCCCGGCCCTGTTTGTGTCGATTTCAGAAGACGGCGTCGAGACACCCAAGGTCTACGTCTACTGTGAGATTGGCCGAAACTCTGCAACGTGATGCACGCATGCTGACGCGAGTCCAGCCGACTACGAGCGAAGCTTGCGGCAAGGCTACAGTGCGTCGGACGTCAAGTCCTTTGACAACTCGCCCGTCGTCGACTACCTGCAGCAGCGATCGGCCGACAACTCGCGGGACCAGGACCCCGATGCGGCGTACAACGAGCAGCTCTACAGCGCGGCCATGGCCAACGTCCTCGAGACCGCCGGCGCCAGGAGGTATTTCCACACGACCCTCGACGACGAGAGCGTCATCGAGTTCACCAACGGCACCAAAGTGACCGTCGCCAACACCGCACGTATAGTTGAGGATTTCTCTGGCATCGGCTCCGGCAGCGACGTGCACGACCGGTTCGAGGTCCCCGGGGACGACGGCAGGGCGGAAGTGAGACTGAACACGTCTTCGCGGGACTTTTCCCCCGCGTTAGAGGGTTACCCGACGCCCTTTGTGCTGCACGAGGACCGGTACATCAGCGGCTACCTCTTCGACGGGTCCCCGCTGGAGGACACGGCCGTCCTCGCCGTCAATACGTTTGTCACACGGAACATCAGCAGAGCTGAATCTAGCACGGCCTTGGATGACCCGCTCGACTTCATCAGGGTCGCCAGCGACTTTGTCGAAACCAGCAGGAGGCAGCGGAAGTCTAAGCTTATCATCGATCTGCAGAGCAACGGCGGGGGCCTGGTGGCCAGCGCTGTCGCGCTCTACGCCATCTTGTTCCCCGAGGCTGGTAGGGAAGCGCACATGAACATGCGTGTCCGCGCGCACGCCGCCCTCAACTGGGCCGGGACGACGGCGGAGGAACTGGGCATAGATCTGCAGGAGCTGCCCTACCCGGTCGGCTTCGCCGGCTTCGTCGACGGGAAATACCGCAACTTCACCGACTGGAGGGACTTTTACGGCCCGGACAAGCTCGGCGACGACGAGTTCTCCAACATCGTGCAGCCGGAGTCGGTGGAGCTGGGCCGCACCGGTATCCCCGGCATCTTGGAGATCCCGGAGCCGTGGTTCAAGCCTGAGGACACGGTCATCGTCACCGACGGCCACTGCGCCTCGGCCTGCTCCTACGTCGTGGGCATGATGATGCGTGAGCTCGGCGTCCAGGTCCTCGCCGTGGGCGGGCGCCCCCTCGACGCGCCCATGCAGGGCATAGGCGGCACCAAGGGCGGTCCCGTCATCGCACTGCAGCCGTACCAGAGGCTGTACTCGACGCTCGAGGCCTTTGTCGAGCCGCCCTCCGACGTCGACCTGACGCCCTTTGCCCAGCCGTACCCGCCGCTGGCCGGCACGTCCACGAACGCGTGGACCGTCAACTCGGCCAACATCTACCTGGACGACGACCTCGACGGCACGCCCGTGCAGTTCCGGTACGAGGCGGCGAACTGCAAGCTGTACTACACCTGGGACACCCTGACCAACATGACCAGCCTGTGGTCCGCGGTGGCGGACGTCAAGTGGAACGGGGGCAAGTGCGTGCCGGGCTCTACCACGAACAAGGACGGCACCATGGGCACGTCTAGGCCTGGGTACTCGGACAAAGTCGTGTCAAACTTCAAGTGGCCTGCCGGCCCCGGTGACGTGGTCGAGGCAGGCAGGTCGAATAACGGCGGCGGCAGCGAAGGTAATGGTAGCGGGGGCGGCAGCGGGGGCGGCGGCGGCGGTGGAGACGAGAACGTTGCCGGCTCGCTCCGCGCTGGTGGGAGCCTATTATCCTTCCTGATGTTCGCGATGGCGTTGGCGTTTGTCATGTAATAATACACAAGAGACGTGAGGGAAGAAATAAAATAAAAAAAACTCGATAGTTGAGTCCAATAATCCAAGGTCTGTGCGAATCGCTTCATTAGAGATAGAAAAGACATTAGCAAGGGTGCTGCCAAAGTACGTTATCATCAACAGCTCTCTATCTGTGTTACTGTCATTGTGTATTTGTGCGACCTTGAGAGATATTCGCCTTGCAGGTGCATCTAAGTTGTCATCGACAGCAGAAGGGAAAAAATTAGATAATTGATGTGCGGGGTGATCCACGCGGAGGAATCGAGTTGTATTCCATGAATTATCCCACAAGAAAAAGATAGAATAAACAGGGAGAGAAGAAAAACATCTCGCCTGAACAAGCACGGCACCCTGGGCAGGGACTGCATCTTCCCGGACACAGCCAAGGTCACCGTTAGAAAACATTACGTCTCTCTTCTTGTGTGGTTTTGAGTCTGGATCCAGAGGCCTGCCAACAGGGGCTGTTGAGAACTAACAACCGGAGCAGCAGCTATTTGTCATTTCTTGTCACCATCCAACTCTCATGATGGACCAAATGACGATACAGACGTGCCCCCGCCCATAATAAGTGGCGTGTTGTGCAGCAGCGCCGCGTCTTCCGGTGGCTCTCTGGTTATCCGAAAGTTGCTCCGTAGGATTCATTGGCCAGCGGCATGCGCCCGTGTCCTTCCGGTTCCCGTGCTAATAGGTACAGCACGTCGCTCACACAATTGTATTCTTCTTATATTTCGTTTCTCTTATTCCTTTCTTTGGAAGAAGAAGGTGGGGTTTGCTGTCCTGGTGTCCATCTTGGCCCTGACACGGTCGGCGGCAGCAGAACCACCAAAGTCCATCAGGGGACGACACGACGCCGCATACCAGAAAAGCCCTCGCGACCCCTGTACTACAGTCTGTTGCGTTGGCAGCGTCCAAAACCCATTTTTTAGTCTGTGCGCTTGCGCTACACAAATGCAACACCTATGCGAATTTAGGTTTTTTAGGCAGCAAAATGCAAAATCTATATTTTAGTAATATTTAATAGTTATAATTTAAAGACGTGTAATAACAACAATAATAAGGGCATTTAGACCTATATAAAGGCTACTTGTTAGTAATAACTTCTTCTTTATATATAACGGCTAGCTTACTAGGTAACTAAGTTACTAAAGCTATAGGAGTAGTCTTAGATACTAATTATATGTTTATTTAAAGGAGTAAAGTCTATAAAGTCTATAAAGTCTATAATAACCTCCCCTCTACTGTCTTTTACTATTACTATTAA